AGTGTGCCCAGGAGGCCAAGAAGGCCAATGGCATCCTGGCCTGCATCAGGAACAGTGTGGTCAGCAGGAGTAGGGAAGTGATTGTCCCCTTGTACTGGGCACTGGTGAGGCTGCACCTCCAAAATTATGTTCAGTTTTAGGCCCCTCACTACATTGTGAAGCGTGTCCAGAGAAGGGCAACAAAGCTGTTGAAGTGTCTGGAGCACAAGTCCTGTGAGGAGTAGCTGAGGCAACTGGGGTTGTTTAGGTTGGAGAAGAGAAGGCTCAGGGGACAACTTATCACTCTCTACAACTACCTGAAAGGAGGTTGCAGAGAGGTGGGTGTCAATCTCTTCTCCAAAGTAACAAGAGATAGACAATAGGAAATGGCCTCAAGTTATGGCAGGGGAAGATTAGACTACATCTTGGCTGCCTGTGCCTGGGATATTGCAGCTTGTTGGCTGCTGCGATGTAAGTCATCTCTTGCGGCCTGGAGACACACTCCTGGAGGTATTTAAAAGGTGTGTAGATGTGGCACTTAGGGACATGGTTTAGTGGTGGATCTGGTAGTGTTAACGGTTGGATCTGGTGATTTTAAGGGTCTTTTCCAACCTAAATGATTGCATGATTCTATGAATCTAAAGCTTCTTCAACAGTTAAGTGATAGTTAACTATTAAGCAATGAGGGATGTTATTCACAGACTGCATGTTGCAGCTGCTGTTCTTTGCCTCTACTTCTTCTTGCCCTGCTTCCAATAAAGCACTAGCTAATGTTCCCAGAAAATAATAGTTCCTATAGGGCAGTAACAAACAAATATTAATTTGGCATTTAACAAGAAGATTTAGTACACTCTTCTGTCAAACAGGGAGATGCATCAGCCCAGTCATCACTGTAACTGGACATTTGGGAACATGGTCTGGAAAAAGCCATTTCAAAATTAATGACGACTTTTGCCATCTGCAGGGTAGTTTTAAGATGACAACTAGCGTTTCTGAGTTTGAAACTCAGTACTTTCTACTCATTTTAGTTTTCTCCCTTCTCCTGAACTGACCCTATTAATAGACTACACAAACATGCTACCTCTCACTTGCTTATTTTGGTGATCCCATTAATGTAGTTGTTGCGCAGGGGGTTCATTTTCACATGAAGAGCATGGAATGTCCACCCCAAGCACAGCCTGTCTCTTGCAAGGACTGAAGAAGCAATTCTGTACAATCTGAAACCAAAAAGATTTTGGCCTTCTACGTCCTGGGTCACTAACCAAAATCATTGTTATGTTTCTCACCACCTACCCCATTTAGTAACAAACAAATAAATAGTAATTTAAAAGTTGATCTTTGCTTGAGTCTTTCAAAGACGTAGATGTCTGCCAAAAGCTTTTGTGGCTTTGGATCCTGAGCAGTTGGAAGTACCAGCCTGTTCTCAATCCCAAAGAACTAAAGGGAGAGAAAATATCTGAAACATGCCTAGTTCTCAGTATTTTGTCCATTATACTTTATTTCTATAGTCAGAGCTCTTGGCACTGTTTTGTTCTCCCTGATAATCCTTATGTTTACTTATTTAAGCTGGCAAAGACGGATGAATTGTTCCTCATAGCATAAGAAGATGATTAATGGAAAAATCTTTTGTGTTCAGTAGCAGAAATAATCCAAGTGCAAGCAAAAGCAGCTGTCTGACAGCAATTCTGCCTATTTTTGTTATCTCTCACAGTCAGCAGGTTTCTCTCTCTAACCACAACTCAAACTAATTTCAAGACAAGTATTTTTATAGACATCACCAACCATTCACAGTTTAAAATAAATAATCTGCAGTATAGAACTGTGGGTTTGTTTGTTTTAATTCTTTGCATTTTTTTAAATAAAATATGGTTATTCTATGTTAGGTTTTACAATTAAAGAACTGGCTGCTCATGAAGTCAGGTGTTTAATAGTTCTGACAGCTGTAATTACTTAAAACAATTTTTCATTAATTCTGAACACAAGGAGGTGACATGTAAAAAAAAAAAAAATCTCAGAAGACACCACTTACAGGGCAGAAGACTAACACCTAACTTCCTTATAACTAATTTGTACTACTTAAAAAAAAAAAAGGGACACACACACACACACACATCAAAAAGCTTAATGTGCTCTCTTGTCTCTAAGAAGGAATAGAAACACCACTTAGACAAAATACAAAGGTATTTTAATTCGTATCTTTTTCTACTTGGTCTAAATTGAACCAGGAAAAGGTACCAAATCAAAGACACTAAATTAAACAACTGTTCTGCCGTTCCTGTTCACAAAAGGAACTGCTTAGCCTGGCTACTGCATATCCAGCAGTGAATTTAGAAATCCTCAACAGCACTGAGGTTTCAGGTGCAATTAGAACCACTAGATAAGAAAACAAAGGAGGGATGCACTGAGAAAAACAAAATCATTCCTCTGTGTGCTTGAAAAGAAGCAATTCTTCTTTTCAGACACTTTCTCCCCAGAACACATAAGCAATTTTTGAAGAAAATGTGGTGTCACAGAATTGAAAAATATTTATCTCTGTTCAGCAAAAGTGCCTTTTCTTTTTACTTTTACATAGACTCCCAGTCATTTAGAAGAAATTACAATCTGTCTGAAGAGTACAGAGGCCTAATGTTTGTGATAATAACCAATATGGCCATTCCAGGTAATCATATGCTCCTGATCATATGCATTAGTGTAACAGTACGGGTCTGCTCATTCATTCAAACCAATATCCCTATACAAAGGCCACGTCCCAATATCTAAAAAACTTAACTGGGATTTTAGAGACCATACGGCACAGCAAGGGGCCAGAAATACTGCAGAATAATCAATCTCCTTTCATACCGAATGGAGGCTGTACTGTGCTACATACAAATGCAGAAAAACCTGCCTTTCTGGGCCCTCCCTAGTACAGTTACTGTGCAGAAAAAAAAAAAAAAAAATCAATGAAGATACCTTTATTCTTGGCTATATAACATTACACATTTGAGTTGTTTCTAGCTGTTTCCCTGGTGTGCCTTTCATTTCTGACCACTACTTTTTGAACACTAAGAGAACTGCATGTCTCTACTGCTAACAACCAACAGGTTCAAATGAAATGAAAAAGGTGCTAGTAATATATATAGTGTTTTCTGCACACACTTGTATGCAGACTTCACAGAGCTAAGTATAATCACTGCAGATACACCATCACTCTGCAAACACTGTGAACATCTCAATTTGCATAGAGTTTAACTAATCATTAAGAATTTAAATGAGATTATTTTCAACCACAGAGGCAAAAAAATAACACTTTCACTAAATTATATTGAGATGTCTATGAGTTCAGACTGCACAGGTTGTCTCAAACTTGGCAAATTAAAAAAAACACTTTCAAGTGACAAAACCCATGCAATTCAGTAGAGGCCTATTTATTCCTTGAAAAATTTATTTGAAGTAGACTATGCAAGACAAAAATAAAACCAGACATAGAAACAGAGGCACAATCCTATGGGCTTGACACATTCAGCAAGGAAAATAAAAAATAACAAAATGCAACTGAGCAATCACTGTAAAGCCCGCTGACTTCCAACTAAGTACATGTATTATTATTTCTTCAGAAGGAAAAACGCGTGCTTGTCTTCACCCCCAAAAAATAATCTGAACACCTTCTGAACTCTTCAAAATGCTAACAAAGAAAAACATGATGCAGGAATAGCACATCAGATTGCACATTGATCATTCAGAGAATGCTGGAAAAAACCCAACCCAACATAATGTTAAAACACACAAATCCAAAAATACAGTGTGTCATGTCAGAAAATATGCCAGAGCTTTTGATAACTGAAGGAGTGCAAAGCCTTCAACAAAGTTTTCATAGAATTATGTTTTTCTTCCTATGATATTTATTGAATTTTTATCTTCATTTGAGGGAAAAAATACACTATAGAAAAGTGTATTCACCTTTGAAACCCAATGTTGAAGATCATAAACTGAAGTTTATATGCCACTATAACCTTGTTTTTACTTACATAACACCATTCTTTATTACATTACACTATGCTGGCTACATGTATGTACTAAACGCAAAGGATCATAAAACTCCCCCTAAGCCAACACTATCAATCAGCAATACCATTTTAAAAGAAGCAATTCATTCATTTCACAATTCATGGTAAATTACTGTTACTTACTTACTATAAAATTACTGACAATAAGAAACAGGTATACCCCATAGGGATTATTTCTATTATTTTGTGTTTAAATGCCTTTCAGTCACACATAAAAGCTTCCTCTAACCTCTCAATATAAGCACAAAACTTAGCCAATGTAAAAATCAATGTTTGTAATGTGAGAGAAAAATACTACAACTGCTTTAATTTCTTTTCACCATAAAAATCTAACTCCTCTTTGGTAAACAAAATGAGTTGCCCAAAGCTCTCTCTTCCTACACACCCTTTTGAAAATGTGACCATATTAATTACCTGAACAGTTTATAAAATCGCATCAGCTAATGCAGAATGCTTATGTATTTGAAAGGTATTTTCTTTAAACACTTTAAATTTCTGACAAAAAAGGTGAAGACTCATGATATAAATGTTTGATCTACAAGTATCTTCATTTCACAAAGCAAGCCATAAACTTGTGGCTACTCACCATAAACAACATACATAAGAAAAGGAACTCTACTATAACTTTTCTGTTCACTTTCTACAAACTGTTTTAGTAAGACCTAGACCCAACTAAAGTATAGAATACTATTTAGCTATTTAAAATTATTTCTTTTACAGGCCAAAAAAGCTATGGTTTGTAATGAAGCTCAACCTAGGTACAGCAAAAATATAGTATTTGCTATCAAAAGAACTGTAAGCTATCAAATTGATAAGCAAATGTTTTTCTGCTCACAGTTAAATATTCACACGCCAAAAAAGTCTAGTGAACTCTAAAACGACTCACAGCACAGATAATTCTACCAGGCACCAACAGACTCCTGGGTTTGCTAGCAAGTTCCCCGACTCTTGAGCCCATTTGTCGAGGCAAGATTTCTACGACAAAAGGTGTGTAATCTTTTTCTTCACTTGGGGTTCCTCTGTTTTGGCTAAAGGCATCCTCCATACAGCTCTAAGAACTGAACTGCTGGACTGCTGTGTTTCCTTCCACCTGAATATTCTCACTTCTAATTGCTACAGGCTGCAAAACATATTCAAACACATTAAGGCAAAATGCTACACTACTTCCGCAAGTAGCAACAGTAAATATGCATGTTCAAACATTCAAAAGATGTAACAATAACTACTGCCGGGGAAAAAAGTGCCATGTATTTATGGGAAAGCAGATAGCCCTAATGATTCTCACAGAAAACAGGGGTTGTGATGCACTGACTAAGTAAATGTGCCTTCATGTTTTCATTTCTAACAATAAAGACTCTCAAACACAACTAACCTTAAATTCACTGCTGTAGCAAAAAGACAACAAATACTGACACGTTTTTAATACATATAAGCTATAAACAAAAATAATACATCCAACAATAGATCTCTCACTCAACTAACCAGAGCCATGAGGATGCTGTTCTTGTATTCCAGATGCAGGTGCCTAGTGACACTATAGGTGTTCAAACCTTTCCCAACAGGGCAACCTGTTCACTTTCATTTACTACAAATTTCTTTTCCACTTTTCCACTTATTCCATATTAGTTGGGTTGGTTTGTTTTTTTCTTTAATCCCAAATTCGGTGAAAATACATGAAGTTAGAGTCTGTTATTAACAGTTGAGAAAGACTATTTTTGAACTTAAGTTAAAACAAAACAAACAAAAAAAGAAGAGCTCCATATAAAAAACAAAACAAACAAAAAAAAAAAGAGCTCCATATAACGGCAGTCACTCCTTAAATGCCCTTATTCCTTAGAAAACTTCAAAATATCTTACAGTTCATATAAACTAGTATGACCTTATTTTCCAACCTTTATGGAAAGTGTCATTTTATACGGAGGAAAAAAAAATTACAACTCCATCACAAAACCTTTATATTAAAAAATGGAAGCAGATATTTTCATTTCATGTTGGCCACTGAAACACCTCCAACGCCACATCCCACCCAAAAAATAAATCTCCATTTATTACTCGGCTTACCATGAGTTTTACTTTAATATTACAGCAGCCTCTAGAGACCTCAGGATGTACGGAGTTTCCTCTTTTTCCTTTTAATGCATCTGTCTGTCGAAGTTTACAAGGCACTGAATGATTTAGACCTCAACAGACATCTGATGCATAGTCTACATTCTTGTGTGGCTTCTTAAGAAAGAAAAAAAACTAAAAGGACATTAAAAAAAAAAAAAACACATCTGAGGGAGTATATGGCTTCCCTCTTTCTAAAATCCTACCTTTCTCTCAGTCCTTACAGTTATTAAACATGAAATTAAGGGTATTTGTTCAATATTTTACAGAAGCCAAAAGATTTTTTGTTTTGCCTCTCCAGACAGATGGAATACAAAAACAATTTCTAAACCACAATTACTAAACTCTTAACTGGGCAGTTCACAAAATGTGCTGTTTATTAACCGAGGAAGGAGGACCTCAGTTACAGCTTTTTTCTTTACCCACTTGTGAACAACGTGGAAGTCCATTGAAGTTGCAAGAGCCTTTATTAAATTAGATTAACAAACCAGGATACATGTCACCTTATTTCAAAATTACTGAATTTTAGACTTTTAAGCCTGAAACAAACACCCTAAGACCTTCTATAACCACAACCTAAGTAGAAAACACCAGAGAGTGATTTATTTGATCTTTCTTCAGGACAGGAATAGCTCTTCAGCACCACTTGGGTTTTCTTAGGGCTGACTGTAAAGAAAGTTCCAGGAACCACTTTTTAGATGACAGAGTTTGGAAAAAGAATTCCATCAATACCGTCCAATATTGGTTCCAGATATATTAATTTCAAGAACTTACCCTCTACTGTTAGAGTACCCATTTTGGACTCCAAGAAATCAAATAGTGTGCTTGGTGCAGATGGTCTGGCATTTCCTAGCTCTTCTTCATCTTCAGGTCTTATTCGGCCTCGGCCCTTCCCTTTACCTGCAAACATTAAAAGTTACTTGTGAGTGGGGAATTTTAAAAAAAAAAAAGTGTACATGCTGTTTTATAAATTTACATTTGATTTTTAAAATGTTTGTATTGCCTATCTTTAAGTAGTCTATCAAGTACAAAAACATACGGATATTTTCCAATTAAGGATATTCAAATCTGTGACTTCAAATTCAAAACTTTAGACAGGAATACAACATATAGAGGTCTTTTCTAAGTATTTGCTTTGAGGTTGATAATGCATTCTAACTTGCAGGAAAAAAAACCAAAACATGCAGATATGCCCTTCTGTAACTACATTACTAATCCACCATACACAGATCCCTTTGCTGGTAAATACTGTTTGAAAGCATTTCTTTGCAAGTTATACCTCTAGGTGGTGGTCCCTGAATGGGTTTCTGTTTACTGCTGTTGAGGAGGAAATTTAATGCTGCCTCTAGGTTGTTACTGTTATCCATAAGTGCCTGTCTTGCTGCCTCTTTGCTGAAACCCATCTCTGTTATGTGTTTTAGAGCCTTTTCATCAACCTGAAATAAAAGGTACACACAGAAATAATCATAAGATACAACTGAGACTCTACAAAACCACCAGATTTTACTTCAATTTTTGTTTAATTTTTATTTGAAACACTATTTCCTACTTCACTGATGATAAATACTTCAGTTTTATATAAAGTCTTCATATACAAGCTCTTTTAGGTACTAACAGTCAGGTAGTAGAGGATTTTTAAAATATTATCATGATTTTTAATTGAACAGTTTTCAGCTCTAATATGTGGTTTCAAGCACAAATTCTTCTAGTGTACCCCTTCCTCCACTGTACCCTGGAATAGTATGACAGACTCTAATATACTTTCTCTGAAGTGAAAATAAAAAGGAATCTTTCCATGTAATACCAACATAAAAATTGGACATTTATTCCTGTTTTAACCCTTCAGCAACTTTTACAGACAATACACAACCCAGACATATACTTCGTAAATCATGGAGAAAAATGGCTAACTGTTCTGTGACAGAAAGCAAAGGAGTACAACTGACTTGCACAGAAACAGACTTTCTTATTCTAAACTGTACAGAGCATGAGGACAGAAGTCAAAGGAGGAGTCACAGAGCATTAATTACAGAAAATAACCTTACACGTGCACTGTGCATTAAAGCACTCAAGTCAGAACTGCCTCCTGCAGAGCAGACAGACCTATAAGCATGAAACATAAAATGGGACTAGGCCTTCTGTCCTTCCTCATCCCCTACCCTAGCAAAATGACATCAGTTATCCACCTACAGCGACAACCATAGATGGCAATAACCCAATACATTCTTAACTGGAGTCCCACGTACGTAACATTTTGTCTACAGGTTCCAAAATAGCCACACCGTGACCATCCAAAAAAACTCAAAAACCCGAACTGCACCTAACCTCTAACACACACACCCCTTCTTTCTGCCTCTGCTTAAAGTCACATGAACTTTTATTCCTAGAATTATTTAACTTACAACTGTATGAGTGTTGTATCATAATGTTTAACCCTTCATCTCCTGTTTCCCTGTTTTCCACAGTCCTATGATGTAATTTCTCCACTCCTCCTTTCTCTTCACATTTTAACACATGCACTTCTTGTCTTAGTTCCAGCTACACACAGTGCCCTGGGACAACAGATATAAGCAGTTCTCTTTTTGGGGAAAGAGACACAAATCCGTGTTTGTGGTTGCTACCTCAAATACAGTAATCATGACGTCAGAACAACTCAAGTAGCTTTTATAATTATGCTTAGTTATGCTAAACTCACTGTAATGAGCAAGACAGGACTTTGCAGTGCTTGGCTACAACTCCCATATGCTTAGCAATGTTATGTAGCCTTCCTCACTTAACAGCACTCTAACTGTCCAACGACTAAGTAAAGGAACAGTAATTTAAAAGGTCTTTGAAGACCAGTGGGTCTTCACGTGACCGCTGTGTCTACAGAGACTCATCATACCACTTGAGTTTGACTTCCAACTGCCTAAATAAGGTCTTATTTTTTAATGAAAGAATATAATAATTCCTCCTCTGGGCTATTCTAGATTCTTTTGCATGGCAACAAGGGTACAACAGAGATAAATAGTTTGTCAGCCCATCTGCTTCACTCTTCTCCTCTTTGTAGCTAAGTAGCTGGTTTAGACGAGAAGAGAAATTCTACCCATTTCTGCTGCATCACTTGCTTTCAAAAGTTGGAAATTCTGTGCACGACAGCTATGTTCAAAGACCAGCAGGAAATGAAGACTCATAGATATAGCACCTGTACTCTTAGCCATGGATAAAAAAACACAGCCTTGGATAGGTCACAGTCTTGAGACCCAAAAAAGGCAATTTCCCAGACACAAAGGCTGTTTGAGAAAGCAGGTAGTATCTTAAGTATCTTTGGATGTCATAAACACTCCTTCCAACTTCATTTACACAGCACAAATCTTGTTTCTCATAAAAAACTGGAAAGAATGTAGGACATATACTGTGAGGACTATTAATAGAGGAGAATGATTGTCCCCTGCAATCCATTGTCTCTCTATGAAGAAACGAACAAAAATACCTATTTGTTTCTTGTTTTGTGCTCCAGCTTTCTTGAAAGGTAATGCACCAGATGGATTAAAAACCTTTAACCATTTCTAAATATACACACAAGTCAACAAAAACACATGAAAGCCAACAATCAAACCTACTTGCTGTCATAATTTTAAAAAGACAAAACAAATTTGTTATCTATTGCTTTAAGATCCAAAAAATTATTTATATAAAAGGTTTTCTACATAGGCTTAGCGGGTTCATACTTCCTTCTTCTACACAGATATGTTAAATAACACAATATTAAGTTCTGATAAGTTGGAAGTACTGCCATTTTACAGTGATGTAAGACAGGTTTCTTACAGTTAATAAAATAAATAGAGAATACTTTAAACAATTGCCCAATTTAAATTTTGTGGTTTGCTTTTTGGGGGGGGGGGAGGTTGTTGTTGGGTTTTTTGATTTTTTTTCCAAATACACTTAGGTCAAGACATAGTTGTCAAGAATGACAACATGTACCACTGATGCTACAACAGGCTGAGGGATGACTAAATGACCTTTTGAAGTCTTTTCAGCTCATGTTTCCACAATTCTACATAGACATTCCTGAGCACAGTGCTGAAGGCAGAACTGCTGGAGGCTTTCTTTGCTGCAAGATGTAACAGTTCTAACAGTTATTGGTTTTAAATGGCTTTTGTTCCGATTTTTAAACCTTGGTAAAAGTAAGTAAGGTGGTAAATGTTCAAAATAAGTAACTGATACTTCTAGTCACTATTATAATACTGGTATACTGAGTTACTGCACTGTTGCAACACCTCTTTCAATCAACTTTCATCATGGAAAGCAGAATCATTAATTGCTGTTGAATACTTAGAAATTCCTTTACAGAGTTGTTCTTGGCAACAAATACTTCCTCTATCATGAACTTTTAGATTGCTGAAGTAATCAAAACAGAAACTTCAATGACTGCTCATCTTATATCCAGTTAATTCAATACAGCGATCCCAAAGAACACTTCTCAGTAAGTAATGAAATATATTGGAAGGTGGTATTTTGGATTAAGAACAGTTCAGATTCTCTAACAATAACAACTCACCTTGCTCAAAATGAAACACTACTTGTGACCATGTAAGCATGATATTCACATGTCACAACAGAAGTATTTCTACTTTGTTATTTAAAATATCACAGTACCACTTAGTTTTCTCAACATCAAATAAATGGTTTAAAACACTTTAAAAGAAATACTGTATTAATATCACACTGAAACTCATACCTAGCTCAGTAAGGTACAACAGCACCTTAAATATTCTAAATAGACTTCTAAATACATTGAAAAGAAAATTCCTTATTCCTCAGAGTCTTTTCATTTAATTTTTGTTATATTTGGGTTTTGTTTAATAGTACAGATTTAAGGTTCCATATAAGTCTTTCACCTTACCAGTTCTCGGTAGACACCTTCATTCTTTCCCTCAGGTTTTGTTATCTTCTCTTTCTGGAACAGTTCCCTGTTTCGATTCCCTCCAGCACTCACACTGAGATTACTTCTGCTACTACCACCACCTCCTCCAAACGTCTTGGTCTTCAGATAAGCACAAAAATAACATTTCAGTAAACAACTTATGAAAATAAGCCTTAACGTTTAGCTAGGAGAAAAACTGCAGTAAATCTGATGCTGCTGTATTTTTTATGACTATGCTCTGAATCATCAAATACAACACTAATTTACACACACACAAGAAGACTAATTTATTAGGTAGGACTTCTATTTTTTCTGCCTGTGCCCAAATGAGGCTGTAAAAAGGGTATATAATTCTAGTTTTTATGACTTGGCAAGTAATTTGGAAAAATAAACTAAAAAGGAAAACCAAGGACATATTTCGGAGGACATAAAAACCTGACGTGTTAGAACTAAGCTTCCTAGCTATTCTTTCAGACTGAATGCACGGAATCACGTGTTTTTAAGAACTGAAAAAAAAACCCAAAACAAAACAAAACACCATGCCACACACAGAAAGATTACAATTGGCAACCTGTATTTATTACTAAAATCTCATTAGCTAAATTGTAAAAACCACATTTTTTTTAATAGAGGTATCACATCAAAATCATACCTACAATAAAAAACTATGATATATTTATAAGTTTTATTAAAATAAGAACATCAACTCTCTCTTTGGGATTCATCTTTTTAAAGATACATGAGTACAATTATAAGAAGGCAAACATCAGAAAGCATTTGTCATTTCAGAGAGAATTACGTAAAAAACAACAAGAAAATACCACAGTAAGTAAAATGCTGCCACACATGCATTCTAACCTCCTTGCTCTTTGCTACTTCTGCGATAGCAGCTGTTCTCTGCTTTTCAAATTCATCATTGTCTGCAACAGGTTTTACAGTATTTGTCATTTGCAGAGTCTTTCTGCGATCAAGATCTCTGCTATCCACTTGCACGTGAGAGGCACATTTCTGAAAATGCAAAAGAAAGTTTTAATTAACTCTTCAGCCTACTCTCATTCGAAAAAAATAAAGTATCATTCCATTAGAGTCACAACTTTATCTAAAGAATAGGATTGCAAAAATGTACACCTAGGACACCTCGGCTGAAAGCGCACTCCTCTGGTCTGCTAGAAAGGCCAGAGAGACTTTTACATTTTAAGTTGAGTTCATAATCATAGAACCACAGAATGGTTTGGGTTGGAAGGGACCTTAAGGACCATCTAGTTCCAACCCCCCCGCCATGGGCAGGGACACCTTCCACTAGACCAGGTTGCTCAAAGCCTCATCCAGCCTGGCCTTGAAGACAGCCAGGGATGGGGCATCCACAACATGTCTGAGCAACCTGTTCCAGTCCATAATGTAGCCAATATGATACTTGTAAATACATTATTTATTTAAGAAGGGAATATGTTGGTGTCTACAAGATCTGACAGGAAGAATCAAAGGCTCCACATACTAAATAAAATTTTAAGTTTGAAATACAGAGGAAAAATGTTCCATATAAATTGCCACAACAAAGTGAGAGAATCAGCATCTTTTTTTTTTTTTTTAAAAAAAAGGTATATTTTTTAGATCCAGGTCATCATGACCTAAGGTGTTTTGATAGCCTTTATCTAACTGGAACCAAGTCCTCTAGATATCACAACACAGGTCTTTATATAAACTCAAAAAGAGAAATATACTATACCTGCCCAAAAGGTACAAAAGGGGGAGGGCCACCTTCTGTTCCAATGTTACTCCTATTGTGTTTTGCCAAACTCTGTAAAAGAAAATTGTTAATTAATAAATTGCAAACAAAAAACAGATTATATGATAAATGTTTCCGTTTCAGAAAGTAGATGAAACTTGTAAGATGAACATCTTGCTCATGAAAAATAAAATCTGTGATATACTTAAAATCCTGGGGCACTTCATTTTAGCAAGGAGAAGGTTGGATGAGGGGCAGGAGATGAATAAAATTATTAAAATCAGCAGAATCATGAAAGCAACACACACAGCAAATGAAGAAAATTCAATTATACACCAAACTCTACACCAACAGAACAGAGCAGCACACAAAACAGGCAGCTTTTTTAACGCAGCACCAGCGAACTTGCTGCCACTGGAGGCTGTAAAGGCATGCAGTTTTAGCACATCTAAAAAGCGATCAGACAAATTCAGCCTAGAGAACATAAGGTTCAGGGGGGTCTTATCAATCTATACATATACCTGAGGGGCGACTATAACGAACAGGGAGCCAGGCTCTTCTTGTGGTGCCCAATGAGAGGACAAGAGACAATGGCCACAAACTAAAACACAGGAGGCTCCCTGGGAATGTCAGGAAACACTTTTTTCCTGTGAGGGTGACTGAGCACTGGCACAGGTTGTCCAGGGAAGTTCTAGAGTCTCCATGCTTGGAGATATTCACAAGCTGCCTAGACATTGTCCTGGGAACCTGGCTCTAGGTTTGGTCACTGCTGGAAAACACATACTGTGCCCTAGATCGTCTCCCTTATGGCCTTATGAAAAGTACAGTGCATAAGCTGAATTTATCAGTGGATCTTCGGATTGCAAAGACCATAACAATGAGCATAACAATTACTGATAACTTGTGTTTATAGAATGAAAGCACTCTAAACTCTTAGCCACAATCAGACAATCAGTGACCTCGGCCTGAAAACCAAGCATTCTCAAACAATACAAATTACTAGTGGCCAAGAACAGTAAAAAGATGGATTTGTAAACCACTGCATTAAAATATCTGCCCATAGTTTATACACTTTTCCTATTTCTTTACAAATTGTGACAAAAGCAGCAAGCTGCAAGAGAATGAATTCCACTGGAATTAACATTTGGCTAAGTGTTAATGGTTTGTATTCATCATGCTTTAACCTCAGCTGGTAACTGAGCACCACACAGCTCCTCGCTCACTCCCCTACCCGGTGGCAATCAGAAGAATAAAAGTGAAAAAACTTGTGGGTTGAGATAACAACAGCTTGATAATTAAAATAAAATCAAACAATAATAATGATAATTATGATAAAGGAATATACAAGTGATGCACAATGTAACTGCTCACCACCTGCCAACCAACGCCCAACCAGTCCCTAAGCATCAGCCTCCCTGGCCAGGTTTCCCCCTGGTTAGACAATGAGCATTTGTCATATGGTATGGATTATCCCTTTGGCCAATTTAGGTCAGCTGTCCTGGCTGCGGCCCCTCCCCGCTTCCTGTGCCATCTCCAGCCTTCTCAGTCAGTAGAGCATGCGAAGTTGGAAAATCCTTGACTTAGCGTAAGCACCGCTTCACAACAATCACAACATCAGTGCATTATCAACACTATTCTTTTACTCAGTCCAAAACACAGCACTATACCAGATATTAACTCTATCCCAGATGAAACCAAGACAGTATTAAACAGAAATGTTTGGTTTCAGAAGTGGAAATAGGGAGAACATGTCCTTCATGCAGTTCAAATGCTTCAAAACTGCATTTCCTATAAAGTATCTGGTTTATTATCTTCATTTCTTATTTTCCCTTTTTTACCCCCACTGTGACAGTCATGCATGTTTACATACATCACTTACTACTCCTCACCAGCAGAGAAAGTTTTGACTGCTTAAGGCTATATGACATCCACCTGTATATTTATTACCTTGATGTAAAATCAATTTATTTCCATCATGTGAGAACCATAGTATAAACATAAATATGCTCTAAGCCCTTATATTTATTTTAAGAAATCCTTTGGTAGTAAGATATTAATTTGGCTAACTAATACCCAAATCAAAACTTTTGGTCCACTCTTTTAAAGTTAACTGCTTTTATTCAGGAACCAAAGACCATGTTCTAAATAATTCAAGGTTATTAATCCCTTTCAAAGTTTTAAAAAAAAAAATATAAATCCTTTTCCTCATGCCTTGGAGTAAAACACACTTAAAATTATTCAATAAATTATTCAAAACAAAGCACTTAGAAGTGCAGAAACCATAAAATTTTTCTGCTTTAGTTTCAATGAGTTCAGTTCAAGTGCTGTCTTAGAACTGTGAGCTAACCGAGGACTGATCACCATAGCATGCTCATACCTTCCTGTATCTATTTACTGAAGCAGCACAGTACAATAATCATTTCATGGCCAAGTCGCTTCGCCTCCCCAGGGTAGGCGCCCTAGCTAAAATAAACCCTACATGGTTTTTGTGGGGGGTTTATTAGATCTAGAGATATGTAGGCAATTCTGGAATGAACTCCAGCACTGAAGCAAATTATAATAAAAATAGGTACATGACAGCCTAAGTAGTCGAGTATTTGATCACAGTAAATTCCTCATGTCCTATAATCAGGAAAGACATCCTTAAGTTTAAGGTCACACTTTTTTTTCTTTCCCAAATCAGAATCAGGGAAACACAGAAAAAGACTGTTCCAAACAATTGCTCAAATATGTAATGTGGCAAATAGCAAAAAAGGTACTTTAAAACCGGCTGTGTATTTACTAACATTTAGCTACATGGACTCTGAATCATGACAGTTTATTGCATAAATTTTTATCCCTAACAAAAGAACTCCGCCTAATGGTAAATAACAGCTTTGACACTTTCTTCTCAAGTACCACTGTCTGCTGAGAAGCGAGGACAAATGCTTTGGAAATTAAATTCCACTTTGCACTGAATAAAAAGCAAACTGGCAACAAGAACAGTGTTTGGTTTTTTAACTTAAATTAGCTTGCATCGGAGCAGTAACTATCATTTACAATAAACTTGGTTATTAATACATTTAGCATGCTTCTTTTACCCTTCCTGCTGTATTTGGATTTTGATATTAAAAATAGTATTTCCTAGAGAATCTCTTAAGAAACAAAGCTTTGCAGTACGAGACTGAAGTCCCAGATATTATATACTTTTATCACCCTCACACTTCTGTCTAATATGAATTTTGAAGTACACATATACTACTACCTTTTCCCATCAGGTAACCTCAGTATTTAGCCTCGCCTTCACCAAAATAGAAGAATCATTAAGTATACGAGTGAACTTTACATTTAGAGAGACGGTAATTTGACAGCTTTTTATGTTTTAAAAATATAAGGGAGTACCAAACAGTCCCACCCATCATCTCAGCAAAATTTACTTCAGCCTTCACTTACAGATCACCCGGTACCTTGATGAACAGCAATACAAAGCCGTCTCCCTGCATAAGAAGGGTGCCAGCATTGTCATACACCTTTCCTCACTGACTGAGACACCCGTCATCACCAGAACACTGAGAACACCATGAAGCAATAATTATTTGGAACTGTATTCTCTACTGAAGAAGTCCATGACACATTACCTTACATTTTCAGATTGTCTGCAAAAAGATTGTACAGTAACATTCCCATTTACTCCTCACTCACTGTCACTTAAACTATGACACTTAAAACCCCTGAAATTCTTAGGCAACAATTACATCACGACAAAACTGAACGCTACAGAGACTAGCACACAAACTACATTTGCTGTGTGATAATACTGCGCACATTCCACATACGCTACAGTCCCAGTGCGAGCCTTTCATTACTAAAACTCGATTCCTCATGAAAGCAGTTTCAAACGTCATTCTGAATGGAATAAAACAATAATGCAGCTATGCAACTAGAAGCCAACAGATAGGTGCAAGGGCAAGAATTTAATACTGGACAAACAACTTCAATTCCTAAGTTTTGTAATACTGTTTGACTTAATATCACTAACTTTTTTAGTAAGTAAAAAAGAAACTTAATCAGCCATCTACACAAGAAGCCCAATTAACACTTCTTAGACACTACAGTGGAGAGGAAAAAAAAACCTGGCTTCAAAACAAGTAATTTTAAATAGTCACACAAAAGTTTTGTGTCTTTTCATGCAAACATAGTTCAACATTTCATTTAAGCTACAGTGGCAAGATTAGACAAGGAGTGGCAATGTCCTCGCTCAAATATCTTTGAGAAATAAAAATCTTGCTTATTTGTTAACTGCTCTTTTCTGAAAGGATTCCGAACAGGACAGGAACACCAAGTTCATGAGAAAACTGCTACCAGTGTAGCATCCGGTTTCTACAGAGTTGCCTAAGCTGTATCTGTCTAGCTGTCAGACCACATGTAGAACTGAAACTATGATTTCCAGTGGTCATGGTTCACCTGTCCAAATTGATTTCTTGTCACCCACAGCTTTTCTGACATAGCCACATTTATGCTGGGAACCTGACAGCAGGCTGTGAGCTGGTCCATGAGAAAAAGAAAACGGGACTCTGACAAACTGCAATATGGAACCAGAGAACTGCGGGAATAGCAATAGGCAAGAGTGAACTTTTCTACTTTATCTTACCAGGATAAACCTGTGAAAACTTAGTTACCTCTCTTCTAAACTTGTTGCATAAAGGCAACATAACTGGCTAACAGCAAGTGCTGAAAGTTGTTACAGTCAGCAGCATTCCAGTGGCTATTAAATGGTTTGTTTTCCAGTGAGCAGAACCTGTTCTGAATTATTTCTAGAGAAACATTTATTTGTTGATGCCTAAGTAGAATAAACATGAAAACAGACTGTCCAAAGTACCATCAATAAAACTAACCAATTTGGTTGGCCCTTCTCTTATCAATTAGTATTCTTGAGGTGTTAGTTCTATGTGTGTCTCTTCCCCCCTCATCAACCTTAAAACTTAGCAGTTTTTAACTGGAGAGAGAAATCACAAGATTTATCCTAAACACGAATAAAAATGATAAAATGGGACGGTTTCTGCTGTTGGTCCCAGAACCTTCTTTTAAATCAAACAGGCAGTTTTATTTAACACCAGGCATGTTTAAAACAAACAAACAAACCAACCACAAAAAAAGAAAAAAAAACCCACAAAAACCCCACAAACCACAAACTCAATTATAAAAGTATGAAAAGAATGCCAAACAGAATCTACTAAAAGGGACACTATGTAACTCAAATGTTCAAATACATTTTCTCCCAGTCTGCTCAAATCTATAGAATGCAAATCAATACCAAAGAAGGCTAACCGTAACAAAAAAACCTGTGCCAGACTTGGCATTAGGAACAATAAAAGGAGGATTTTACACAGCAAAGACCATCACGTAAATAAGCAGCTACTCTGTTTCAAGAGATAGGGACGCAAAAATATTGAGATGTGTGTCTGTAGCAGTAGTGACAGTCGATTCAGCAAGTATTTGGGACTGTTCATAGCAGGGTCACAGCTTCCTGCTCTAGGAACTCCCACTCATTTGTGAGA